CCCCCATCCCCCCCCCCCCCACAAAGAGCAGTCGTGCAAAGTTTTACGGAGTAAGAGAAGAACGGGAGGAGAGAGTGAACACAAAACATAGCTGACAAGAGGCATAACTTCATTTCCACGGTGCTGGGACAGCTGTGTGGAGTAATCTGCCGTAGCAGCCCTCTAAAACTTCAATGCCTTTAGTGACCTAGGGAAGTGGGGAGAGGGCAACTCCAACTGTGTCCAGGCGTTTAGGAGTGCGATAGGGCTCCTTTCACAGCCCTCCAAAGGGCTTTTGTTAAAAAAAATATCCCTTACCTCTTTTTCACTGAAAGCGAGGACTATATGTTTATGAGATGTGACAACAATGGTTCACATTTTGAAAGCAAACTTAGAATTAATTTTCTAGCTTGAGCAAAGTAAAGAATTCTGGGATTTAAGTTTTTATGAATTAAAATGAACTGCATGTTCTGTTTGCCAATATTTTTTTTTCTTCCTGGAACTGGCTTGCTCTGCTTTGAAAAGAATCTAGAGTATTTTTTAATTACTGAAAAAGGCTGAATCGTTTAATACAAGATGTAAGTTTTCCTTTGATTATGAGGATGTTTCTGCTCAGAGCAGAATAAGCATATGATGCTAATAATGCTCTGGTTTTTATTTAATGTATTGCAGATTTTTACCATTGAATATCTCTGACATTTACACCAAATATGTCTAAAATGGCACGTGTTTCTCCCACCTAGTATATTGGAAATATTATATCAGTGTCATGAGTTTCTCAAACCCTTTAAGCTTTAAATGTCCACTTGTTACTCACTTTAAAGTATGAGTAAATATTAGTAAAAAAGAGAATTGGGAAGTCTATCGATGAAGTGGGGTTCATTATTTTGTGCTAACGGTTCTGTTGAGGACTGAAGAAAGAACAAAACATTTTAGACTAAGATAATGGCTTGAGGCTGGGTTGCTGTCCGGAGTGAATGGGGTCTCCCTGGAGCTCAATAAGGTCCCAAAGTTTTACTCCATTATGCTGACATCCTAAAGGCCAAGGGGTACCACCCCCAGTGGTTACCTCTCAAGTATGCATTCATCACCTCCCACTACACACACACACACACTGGGGAATCCTTTGTGCACAGACTTGCCCCAGTGAATGAATAAATAACATTAATTGATTAGGAAATGGAAAGATAGGCAGTCAGTGAGATAGATGAACAAGATAAACTTGCTCATGGCAAAAGCACAAGGTTTCTTTTGAAGGTTAAATCGTGTTTAATCATTTTGAGTAGGATAAATCTACAGTTAACTAGCTGCACATTTCTGAACTTTGATTATATTTTCCAATAAGTCAGTCTTGTTCTCCCCTCCCTCTTCATGCAGACTGTTGAAATAAACAGCTAGAAATTGGTTGACTTCTCAGGAAGCCCCTGGGTGCACGCCTGAACGTGAAAAGAAAAATCTCTGTATCTTCCACACCCATGTTGTCAAAAGCCATAAAGCATGGTTATTTTCCACAATGTTATATCAGTCATTAGCAAGTTGACTATCACAGCACACATTTAAACCCAGAAGAATTGAGGTCAACATGCACCAAGGGGACCACTGAGTTCTGAGGACTGAGGTGTGGCCTCGTGGCTACATCGTGTGGTGACGTTGAGGGTGAGCAGAGACTGACTGATTTAACCAGCCCTAAGCAGCTAGTCAGACTCTCTGTCTCTGCTGGAGAGTCAAGGAGTCTGTTGGAACCTTTATGGCCCTCTGAGAAAGTCACGACTCTACTGCAGCAAATTTCAAGTCGAAGTTCATATCCAAAAATCTGAATCAGTTCATTTTTAGAGTTCGGATACATTTTGCATTGTGCAGGGTTTTCTTTTTTTTCTGACTGCAGGAGCTAACCAGTCTAGTAGAAACACTCAAGTACTGAATTAAAAAAGAAGGTGCTGGGAATGAATTACAACAAACCTCTACTGGCTGTTCTCAACCCAGTCTTCTGGTTTCAGGGTCCAAGAGCTGTTTGATTTCAAAAGGCTGCTCTGGATTTTTAATTATTTTCTCCCAAACTCCTAAAACACAAAACAAAAAAACTGCTTTCAAAAACAGGGAGGGGGAGTTCTGTTTCAATTTAAATGATGACAGGAGGCAGAGAGCTTATACTTAGAGAGGAAGAAGAAGTAATAAATAATGTGATACCAGAAGGACTAAAGCTGCTCAGGTCATTTTAAACAAATTCACAAAGTCCTACACTATATCCAATACTCTAATATTCTTAAGTGTTAAGAGTTATTATCTGTTTTGCTTCCTTTCAGGTGTATTTTATTAAAATCTGTAAAGGGTTCTAATACTATTTAGGGCTCAATATTAGTTATTTGCTTTATCCAGTGTTTGGCGTGTTTAATCATGACTTATAGGATTGAGAACCCAGAGAATACACTTCAGAAAAAGTCCCCTCTATAGGCAGAAAAGAAATAGTAACTCCTCGCATTTCCCTTTTACAGGTCTTTGCACATTCCAAATATATTGTGCAAGGCTGTAGAAGTTACATTCACTGCTATTTGCTTAACAAGGCCTTCTCTGGCACGAGGATCTCAAGTCATGCCTGCAGTGTCGGCTCTAAATGAATGAGTTTAAATCCATGAGCAAACATAGAAATCAAAGACTGTTGAGCTAAGCAAATATGACAGTGCCCATTGTGAGAGCAAATTGCCTGTTATTTGTCTTTGTCATGTAAATCCACTCATGTAACATATATTCTGTATTTTCATCTTCATTTGCACTATTGGAGCTTGTAGAGTTGCTTAAGGACAGTTCACAGCATTGTCTGGGTCAGATCTGTTACCACTTAAGCAAGCATAACACATAGATAAGTTTCATAAGATCCTGCAGCATATTGTTAACACCAATATGTACAAAATTCCTCAAGTTAAGTCTGTTCCCATGTTACATGACCTATGTGGCAGCAACAAGTTGTACAAACAGCAGCAAGCTGTAAAACAAGTACCCAAAAAACAAGAAGAGCTATCTGAATTATTATTATTTTGTAGTCAAATAACTTTTTTTAAAAGCATTTTGTTTCCACTTAAATTTGTTGTCACAAAAAAAAAAAAAAACTGACTACAGCTCCTGTTCCCAAATTACACAAATATGGAAAAACATTTATGGGTAAATGCACATACATGAAATATGAGGTTACAGAAAACTTTAATGCCACCTGAGAAAATCTGAATGCATATATAACGTCTTTCTTTATGTTGTGTTTATGTCCAGAACCTTAATCTTGTTGTCCTCTGTCAGTTCTCTCTCCACCCTGCTTCAGCTCATCTGGTTCTCATTTGCACAGCGCAGCCAGCTGGAATGTGTTTGTGCTTTTAAAGATGAGTTATTTGCCCATTAATACATACTTCAGTCCAACACTATTTTAACGGAACTAAAGTTGAAAGACACATTGTTTGTGGTCAAAAAAATATTTTGGATCTAAATAAAGACTGATTAATGATTAATCAGGGCTAAAAGATAGCACAGACCTTGGATTGGTTGAAATCGTTTTGAGAAGGTGCTTTTAATTTGATTTAGTGTATCACAATGTGGTGAAGTTGCCAAAATGAAAGACCAAAATTAAAATAACTTACAGGGCTCAGTTAAATTAGCACTGGTGTTGATCATGCTAATAGATGCTAAGTGTAAAGTGGAGGACCACATCTTTAATAAAATTATATACATGTACTTGTACTTGTTTTGTAACTGTTTATGTTCATTAAATTTCATTTATTTGTAAGAAAAGAAAATCTAGATGGCCTGTGAGCTACAGTGGGTCCTTCAAGTTCCACAGAGATTGTTACCAAATCTACGAGTACGAGTTTACAATTGCTATTGTATACTCAAACTCTACATATTTAAATGACAAAAAATAAAAAATCCAAAATGTATCTTATGGACTGCATTACCTATACCGACCCTTAAGATGGCTCTGTATACAAAATACAAAAATGCTCAAATGCGCTTAAATGTTTATTTTTTTATACCCAGGTTGTGTGTATGTGTATGTCAGAGAGAGACTATTAAATGATAATTTATCTGCCTAGCAGTGTTCCTCACTGCTGATGTCTCCTCTGCACACAGCTCCAGGGAGCCTGTCTGTGTTACATGTGCGTGTCCTGGTGCGTTTCCCATTGGTGCAGCTGGACCAGCTAGACCAGCATGACCAGTTACCTTCATGGGCAATAGGAGGTCTTTTAACTGCAAAAAGAAAATATGATGAAATGAAATAAAATGAACACATAAAAAATGACCTCAAGCAATATGATGGGTCTTTTTGGTGTGTTGGGATGCTATATATTGTGATTTATTTTATATTCCACTATTCACTCTTACCTGGGGGGTCAGTATTATCACCCTTGAAACTCTGGCATGCCATGCCTTCAAACATGTTAGAGCACAGGCATATACACTTTCCATCCAGCAGAGTAAGAGTGCCTCCGTTATGACAAGGCTTACACTTGCACACGTTATACTCCGCCACATAGTCTGCTACGGCCTGCTTCAGATTGGAAATTCTTACGCTAGCATCCGGCATTTCCAATGGAATTAACATATAGATGGGCTCTGGCTGTCAGAAACAACAGAATATGTGTACAATTTCACTTATATGTATACATATGACAATAGATTATAACACAACATAATTATAATATAACAATTATATCTCATCTTTCATTCGCCTCTTCTTATAACAAGATTTAGAGTCTACAGCCATGACTATTCTTAGGCATAGCAGTGCTTTGAGATAAATGCAGCAACACCAACGTGCTAACATGCTTACTATGACAATATGCTGATGATTAGCAGGTATAATTTTTACCATGTTCACCATTTTTACTAAGCATGTTAGCATGCAAACTTTTGATATTTAGCAATAAATGCAAAGTGTAGCTGAGGCAGATGGGAATGTCATTACAGTAGTTTCATTGGATTTAACAGGATAATTGAAACATTTGACCTACTGGTGGTGCTATGAAAAATCAGGGGTTCACCAAGGTCATAAGGATTCAAGCTCTTGGCATATGAATGTCTGTACAAAGTTTCTTGGTAATCTGATAGTTGTTGAGATAGTCTGGACCAAAACTGGTAGACTGACCAACTCACTGTTTAAAACCTTGTTCTCATAGTGTGTAATAATGATGTTATATATAATGATGTTGTTCCAGCTTTACTTTGTCAATCTCATCTCATCTCAAAATCATTCCTACCTCACTATTAATCAGTGCAGGGGCATTAGAGATGCTCCGGACCCAGTCCTGAAATGTTATCAAGTCCAACACCCCTTCCTTATTCACTTTTGTCTTCATAGCAACAGCAGTTACTAGTGTACCTCCTTTGACTGATGTCATCACCTTGTCCACCACTGCTTTTCCTTCACTTTCAGCTGTGTAGCAACAGGGGATCAGGTTTTAGAGACATTCCACAACTGATACATTAATGTAAACATTCATAGTTACAGTCTTTTTCATCCAAATACCCAACTTGGTGGTTGTATTGCCAGGATTTAACACAAGCACTAAACCTGCACCCGACTAGCTTGAAAAAAATACCCACTCAGTTTGGCTAACTCTGACTGCTGCAGCATCATATTAAACTTTTCTGAACTTAAGAATGCAATTTGGCATAGAACAAAGTCTGTGTTCAATAGAGTTGTGCAATGAATGAATCATAACATGGGCAGAAGGAAAGATTCTAAATAACTTTTTCAATGTACATATGGCATGCCAGTATTATATTAAGATAATATATATTATTATGAAAAATCTGCACATATCCCATAAATACTAACTTCATAAGCTTGACTAATCAGTGTGATCACAGAAGACAGGGAAAGCAGACCTGTGGTGGGGTTTGTGACATTTTTACAGTCATCTGGTTTGACATGTCCTCTTACTGATACGCCACCCGCGGTAATGCCTCCTTCGATGCCTAATTTGATGCATTCTTGAATCTTTCTTTCTGTCACATCTGCAAGAATTGTGAATTACAGAACATTAGTGTGTGTCACTATATACTTGAGAAGTCTCATGACAGAAAAATGTAGTGACTGAAAACAACAATGCACGGTACACACATACTTTTCAGCTTGATGGTGTCCTGGTTGAGTACATAGACTAATTCATATTCCCCGCCAGACTTCCCATTTTTGGTGTAGTGAGTTCCATAGTCCTCCAGAAAGGCAAAATAAATACCCTTCTCATACTCTAAGGGCAAATATTTGACGTGGTCCAGGAATTCATCTGCCACCTGGAGGTCCCGGGAACGTATCCTGTAGGTGCTCATCTCTACTGTGCCCTTCACTCGCATAAAGCTCTTGTTCTGAGTGTGTGGTACAGAAATGTTAGTAAGTACAGATACATGTATATTTTGAGATTGTCTTGGTTACACAATTTTGTCATTTTTAGACCTGTGATTAGACCTTTTTCACTGCAGCCCTTCTATTTCATGCCATAGTAGGGTAAACACAGGTGTTGATATGTTTGACGTGAATGGAATCGAACCTTAATGACTACCTTAACGCCTGTGTTTACCCTATTATTTCATGTCAAAATGGCTTCTAGGAAAAAGGTCTATTACTTGTCACTGGCTGACATTTACCTTTGTGTAACTTGTTGTGTACTTTGTCATGTCCTTGATCACTGTTTCCTTTTTAAATCCTATACTTGCATCTCCGCTTACACCTCCGCTTCCAGAATCTTTGGACAAGGAAGCCTCACTTGGTTGGAATTTGAAGGAAAATCCAACATCAATGGTAGAAGTCCTCTCTTTTAGCATTTGCCTCACAAGGGTGTGTGAGTTTTCATAGATTTCTCTAGAAACGGTTTCTTCCACTAAAGTCTGAAAAAACAAGGAGCCAAGTTGTTAGGGGAGGATGGAATTTTCGAATATCCTCACTGACATAATCATTTTACTCATAACAACTTTACACACACACACACACACAAACACACATAGTGAATGCATCCTTGTGATAAAATAGGAGAAATTATTCTAGCTAACCTGATAGTGGAGCACACCAACGTTCCAGGGAAGCCTGTCAGTCTGCTCAGTGTTTGGATTTCTCAATCGATCACACCTCCCATTGAAGTAATCATTGTTAAAGGGGTTCATTCGAGGACCTGCACCCAAGATGTTGATTCTGGTGCACGGAGACAGTGGCCACTGTTAATACTGTATACAGTATTATGCCTACTTAGTTGAAATTCAAAGGCTTGAAGATTACTTGAGTATAAATGTACAGGTTTAATTCCTTTAAGGAATAGTTAGGAAAACATGCTCATTGTCTTTATATTAGTTAGCTTAGAAGATTGATACCTCTCATATAGCTACTTGTCAGTTAAATGCAAAGTTAGAGGCAGGAGATGGTTAGCTTAGCTTAGCATAAAGCCTGCAAGCAAGAGGAAAAAGCTTACCTGGCGGTGTGCAAAGGTAAAACATCTCAGATATTAATTAGTGAAGGCTAGAGGTGCTGGTAGGTGTTTTTTTTTTTTTTACCTTTGGACGAGCCAATTTCTACAAGCTTCCAGTCTTTATGGTAAACTAATCTAAGCTGATTGTCTCCTGGCTCTAGCTTCATGTTTAGCATCACCATGAGAAAGGTGTTGATATATTCTCATCTAACTCGCTAAGAAAGTGACCAGTTTTCTAAATATCAATTATTATTTTAAATATTATTCAAGTACAAAACAGATCATATTTATTGTTAAAAACAGAACTCAAATAAAATAATAAAGTAGACCTATCTCCTCTGAATAGTGCCTTGATTAATATTTGTTATGTGTGGTCATCATGAGATGTGCTGTCTTGATGTAAGTGCTCTGTGGTGACAAAGCATTCATTTTACTTTCATATTATTCACTCTTTGATTCCAAATTAATTAGCTTTTAAATCATTCACTCTTACCCGTATCCTGCTGTCCTGCCTTGCTCATTTGTATCCAGGACTCTTGTACCACAGGGTTTATTCTCAGGATCACAGTCATGTGGCTCATCGGATCCATCCTCACAGTCAAGGTCCCCGTTGCACATTAATCTCTTCCTGATGCACGTACCTGTGTAAAGAGAGGTGTTAAACTGACCAGTCCTAAAATAATAAAGAGAATGGTAGTATAGGTGACTTAAAAGAAGCTGAAGTACCTGACTCGCACTGGAACTGTGAGTCAGAGCACACAGAGGGCAACAGTGTTGAACAATTAGCATTTGTTGTACAGCTGTCCCTCTCCCCTACTGGTCCCTGGCAGTGCTCGCCACCAAACTGGCCAAACACCTCAGCAGTTCGAGACCGCCTCTAAGGGTAACAAATTGTTGTTGATTGTTAAGCATCTACAATTTCTCACAAAGACAGAAAGCAGTAACTACAGAAACTGTATGTATAGACAAAGTGAAGGGCAAAGTGAAAATGCAGTATCTACAGACAAAATTAGTTTTCTTCTTCTTCAGCTTCTTGTCCGCTTGAGCTAATGAGCTGGTTCAATAAATACCTTTTAAAGTACACTGATCAGCCATGAGCACTGACAGGTGAAGTGAATAACACTGATTATCTTGTTATCATTGGCCCTGTCAGTGGGTGGGATATATTAGGCAGCAAGTAAACATTTTGTCCTCAAAGTTGAGCACAAAAAAGCAGGAAAAATGGTCAGCGTGAGGATTTGAGCGACTTTCACAAGGGCCAAATTGTGATGGCTTGAAGACTGGGTCAGAGCATCTGCAAAGCTGCAGTCTTGTGGGGTGTTCCCAGTCTACAGTGGTCAGTAGCTATCAAGAGTGGTCCAAGAAAGCATAACTGGTGAACTGACGACAAGGCTCACCGATGCACGTGGCCAAGTGGTCATAATGTTATGGCTGATCAGCGTATGTCTAGATATCCGAAAGTCAGATTCTGGCATATACAGTAACTGTGTTTGGCTTTATAGGACAGTATAGGCTACAGTTTATCACATGCTAGGTAGTACGCTATTGTGATCAGACTAGGTTGAAAATGTAGTTTTGTAGTCACTGAGGTTGATTACAGTTTTAATAGACTCACTTTGATTTTTGTGCAAGGATCACATGAACTCCACTCCGACCAGCGGCTCCAAACACAGTTTACTGGTGGGGGATCAGGATCTCCCCTGAAATACACATATTAAGTTTACTAAATCCTTAGTAAAGTGAATAAAAACATCCTTGCTGTTGTGTAAATGAAATAGAAAATATACATACTTTACTTCTCCAAGAAACACCAGAGTTAGACACAGGGCACAGAAGCCCAGCTGGAGAGTGGCCTCAATCCTCATGATGGACCTTTGAATAAACAAATGGTGTTGTTTGTCTGCGCCTATTCAGTCTTTTTAACCTTCCTTTCTGTCAATTATTTTCCAACTGTACCATGTTCTTGTGATCAAAGTCAATAGTTTGGTTTTAAGGTGCAGCAATGTTGATTCAGTGCGAGAACATTCGAACCACAGTCTATAATGTTTGTTTCAATAAAAATAAAAAAACATAATAGCCTAATAAGTAAAAGTAATGATTAGTTTATTCTTATCATCATCAAAACTGTTATAGAACTGTTATATTGCATTAATCTTTGGCCTTTTGGTTGAAACTATACCTTGATTTACTGAAAGCTGATATAACAAATAAATTGACACATAGATAAGCACATGTCTCTGAAAACATATACTTAAGGCAAAAATCAATTTTAATGCTTATGCTTTTAGTTGGCTGTGATAAAAAATACATTAAATTATACACTTTTGATACAGATCTTCCCAATTACCAGCACCTACTGCACAAAATATAACAAAAAACGTTACCAACTCCTAATTCACTGAAAACACAAAAGTGTCAAATGTGAAACCCTGTTGAAGTGAATAAATATAAATTAGTTTGTTCTGTTTAAATAGTTATCACAGTGACATTTCAATATTTGGCAGTACATTAAATGTTAATTAATGTTGTTATATAAATGTTTTTATAGAAATTATATTTTTAGTCATTTGTTCATTTTCTGTACCCATTCAGTCCTCCACAGAGTATCATGCAGCTGGGCACCAGCCCAGCATTCACTGGGTGACAGTCAATGAGCCACTTGGGACAGCACACACAAACTGACACCAACACTCTTTAATACTGCTGTGTCAAGTTAAGGATTTATTTTAGTGCATACACTCTGTTTATGCACACAGCCTAGGGCCATTTATTGTGTTTTGTTTTTCTTTGTTTTTTCATTTTAGGAATGCTAGTATTATTTGGAGACAAATAGTACTAGCTGCATCATCATTGCATCATCCATCAACAGAAATTAACAAACAGGCTTACAGGAAAGCAGTGCAAATATTTAAAGAGGCAGTTAATACACTGACAAGAAAGGTCCATGGTACATTTAGGTCACCAGACTCAGGTATGGTGATAGGGTTCCTGCTGCACAGCTTTGTTGAGTGTGTGCTGAAGTGCAAATTTTTGTCCACAAGATGGCAACATCGAACAGATAACAACAGTAGGTATTTAGTATTGCATGTCCATGTCTTACATTCAGACACTGTTTATGTGAAGGAACAAACCAATATACTACTAAAGACACTACAGTTTATATGCATACACTTAAGTCAAGTCAAACACAGTTTTCTTTAATAAATCTATTAAAACAAGCCTTGCACAATACACAGGAAGTTTTAAACTGTTGCACCTAATGATCTGTCATGTGATCTGACAGGCTTTTGCTGAGTCTGCAGTACTTTGTTCTTCAAAAGGAGGAGTGCAGTGTGTATAAATGACATTAAAACAGACAAAACAGAGCACTTCTCCATGTAACGAGATGAAATCAGTAGTGAATTTAAAAGTGGACTGAATGTATTAGGATTATGATCAAACTAGCTAATCATTTATGACCAGGTGAATCATTATTCATGGGCACAGAGGTTTGGCAGCACTGAGAGGCTGACAAATCCTCTGCTTTTATCCATCTGAGAGAGTAAAAATGATGTTAAATTGCATGCTGACAAGTATTTTTCTGCTGACTTAAATAAACACAGTAGGACTATTCCCTGATGTCTCCAAAGGCAATCTGGGGGCTGCCCTGTCATGGTTCTTTCCCTGTATCTGCAAGCAGAGCTGGGGTAGTCTAGGGGCTATGTGGTCATGGCCCGCTGGAGAGGCACAAATATGTGCTTAGGTCACCACTTTTAAGAGGTTCGGCAGTTTCCTCCCAGCTTTCTCAGGAAACCAGAGGGTAGGTAAGGTTCTTGGCCAATATTTCTCCTGACTAGAAAGACTTCCTGTTTTTTGGGGGGAGGTTGGAACTGTGTGGAAACACTTGTGGAACAGCCTATTGCTCTGCTTTACTGTAATTTACACACGACATCCTATGGAATTTGTCATCATGTGTGATAGAATATGATGACGTTGCTAGCCCTACTGCTTTAAGTATTTTTAGACTGAAATGGTCAAGAGCAGTGAAGGCAGTTAAGAGTTAAAAGAACAGAGAGGGACAGAGACAAAATCTAAGGCTACCTCAATTATGGACTAGAGATAAGTGGCTATCTTAGGTTCTGCTTGTGGTGGCAGCCGGTTCCAAGATTCACGCCCTAAACGCTTGATGTTTGAATTGTGGCCTTCCTGTCATAAACTGGAAAGGACACTTCCCATTAGATTGTCTCTGTCAGCATTCTATCATAAAAATAAATCTTCTAATATGTATGTGCTGACTTGTGCCATCTGTTGTCTGTATCTCGAAAAAGTGTGTCCCCTACTTTTCCTTTTCAGGCTACAGTCACCAGAAGTTTTTACACAAGTAAGTAGCATCCAACATGTCCTCCTGTTGCATTGGGTGTGCCACTGATCTTAACAGACAATGAATCACATTCAGAAGAACAGGGAACCATCATTTTGATCCAACGTCATCAGACCATGATGCAGGACCAGAGAGACATGTCATTGAAGAGAAAGGTTAACAGCCTCAAGATCTTATACGGGAAAACACATTTAGCTATTTCTGATTTTATGATGTGCAGGATATGAATACTGCTGCAATGATACATATCAGAAAAATGAAAAGACCAGTTGCTAACGTGATGTGAGACGTGATGAAGCAACAACTCTTAAATTCTTAAATACTTGCATTTTGTTCTGGGTTCTGAAATATAAACAAAAGTTTGATGCCATTAAATGTTTAATAAGAGGTTGTGAAAAAGATAATTTTCTGTGGTTGGTGTCTTAAAGGGAAAACAGACTCTCAGCTCGTCAGTAATCTGGCTTCTGAGGGGCTCATCTCCTAAAAAGCAGCCTCTGTCAGCAGAACACAGGATACAAAGGCAGGAAGGACGTCCTTCCTCTGTCCCTTTCTCTCTCATTTATCAGCTCTCAACCTACAGCAAGCAGAATACTGTAAAGAGTCCTCTCTTTAATAATCAGACAACATTTTTTTGTTTGCAAAATCACCTGAGAGAATATATGTCTAGGATCTGGGTTGAAGTAATAGGTACAGCTGTGACTGTTACATGTGGCTGTTGTCATGTGGTGGTTGGTTGGCTCTGAAGCAACATCCCACATCTGATTTTATTTAATAGCATAACTTTGCTTGGATTGAGAATAGAATATTACACATTCTTCCTCTCGTTTGCAGGGACAGGCAGCATTTTGAGCAAGTCTAAAGCCTTATTTTTCTGCATTATGAAGAATTTGGCTGCTATTTATCATATAGTTACAAACAGTTTAAAGGAATCAAACAATATGTCTCACACACCTGTAGTGATTATGGGTGCTGAAATGTTAGGATATTTTTATAGAATGTAAACGAGGCCCACACATGCCAATGGATTGGAATTTATCAAAAACATATAAAAAAAGAAAAAGAAAACTGTTAAACTAAGAGTGCTGTTAGGCCATCAGCTGAGCTTCCATTAAATTCCAGTGAAACAGACACCACAGAGTCAGCTGTGTGATTTTTATCTGGTGTTCAACTTACCATCAGTCATTTAAAAGTCAATTGTGTGTAAGCGATGGCTCACCATAGTATTGAAAACACTCAAATTTACAGAAGTGAAACCTAACAGACAGGAAAAGGCCACACTGACATCACTACTCATGTTAGCACAGATGTCAGTGTTGATGTTTACTCTTGTTTTTGTAACTTTATAGATGGTTGATTTCTTTTCCCAATAATTTGTTTCTATTCCTTTGTTTTTTCTATGGAAGAAGCTAAAGTTCTTTACATTTTTAACTGCTGTGGCTATGCTTTCTCATACCAACTACCCAGTTATTCTCTTAATTATCCCAAACAAACATCTATTGATGCCTCTGCAAACATAAAACAAAACGCTTCCTGTTTGGCTTGAGGCTTTTCTTCCTGGGAATATCATAACTGGCACTCAGTGTTTAGAACAGCAAATATGAAAACTGTCATTACATGGCTGTATCACTGCATTGTATCTAAAGCCTAATAGACATTTATACTGAGGAAGTTGATGACCCATTTTCAACCATCAGTTGACTGTAATTGCAGTAACACTAGTGCCTGGCAAAGGAAATGTAGTGCCTGGTCTTTCAAAAATTGTGCTGTGTTAGCAGCATTGGAACTTTCCTTTCTGGTTCTTTCCCCTCTTCTACATTTTATGATATGAGTACATAATGTTTAGATGATATGAATGCACCAACGTCATCCAATGCTGTAGACCAACAGTGCTGGCAGAGAAAGCTGGGATGTATTCACAGTTTTCAGGTTAACAGTGTTGGAAGCAATTTCTGCCACAAATGCTGAGCAACAAAGAATCCTTGCTTCATCTCAGCAGAGCCTTTGCCATTTTCTAGCCACAGAAAGATATGCTGTTTTGAATAACAATAACAATGAAAAAAACAGTAACTGTGCCTATATTTAGACTAGAAAGGCTTGGGAGCAGGGGCTTGCATGGGAGGTTATTATATTAGAAAATGAAAGCTGCAATAACTCATTTTTAGGGAGCTACAGAAAAAAGCTGCTTTGGCAACTTTGACACATTGTCAGATTTTAAGTTGATGGCGATGGTTTACTTGTTAGCAAACAGTTGCTTATTTACACATCCAGCAGATACCCAACAATAACCCAATAGCCAACATTAGCATTTATATAGAGTGATGTTTCTGGCCCCCTGGGAATGTGTCCAATATTGAATCATCTTCTTTTAAAGGACCAGTGTGTAAGATTTAGTGGCATCTAAATCTAAAAAATGAAAGTCCCTGTCAAGAGCCAGTGTCCGTTCTGCGCTACATGGCAGTTAAACAGGGCAGACTCCATGGAAGGTGACAAGCGTCATCTGTAGATAAAAATGGCTCACTCTAAGGTGATTAAAATGCAATGATTCCTATATTCAGGTGATTATACACTCATAAAAACATACCTATAAAGGTTATATTCCATTTCTGCCAAGTTTTCATCAGCAAGTTTCTAAATGTTGTTTGGCACCGTACAGGTAGCGGTTCTTGGAAAACAACTGCTTTCTGCAGCTGAAAATGACGCAATGAGAGCAGTGAGATTAACCAAAACAGTAATATTATAGGACGTGTGTGTGTGTGTGTGTGTGTAGCATTTAGTGGAACCTAGCGGTAAACTGAATAAAGCTCACTTTCCTAATGTGAAGGAGAAAGTATGGTGGCCATAACACTCACAAAAAACAATAAAAGTTCTATCTAGAGCCAGTGTTTGGTTTGTCCGTTCCGGACTACTGAAGAAACATGGCAATTCAACATGGCGGCCTCTATAGAAGACGACCCTATCCTTCTGTAG